GTACAGCTGGGAGGAGAATGGAATCAGAATGTCTGCTGAGTGAAAACATCTGCCAGACACTATAACAGGGGTGGGCAAACTACGGCCCAGGGGCTGTATCCAGCCCTTCAGACTTTTAATCTGGCCCTCGAGCTCGCACCAGGGAGCAGGGTCTGGGGCTTGGCCCACTGCGGTGCTCCAGCTGGGGAGCGGGGTTGGGGGCTTGCCCCGATACACGTGTGCCGTGGCTCCGCGCAGCTCCCGGAAGCAGCGGCATGTTCCCCTTCCGGCTCCTATGTGTAGGGGCAGCTAGGGGGCTCCGCATGCTGTCCCCACCCCAAGCGGCGCCCCCGCAGCTCCCATTGGCCGGGAACCATGGCCAATGGGAGCTGCAGGGGTGGTGCCTGCAGACGGAGTAGGACGCAGAACCACCTGGCTGCAAGTAGGAGATGGGAGTGAGGGGGGAACATGCCGCTGCTTCCAGGAGCTGCTTAAAGTAAGTGCCGCCCGAAGCCTGCACCCCTGACCTCCTCCCATGCCCCCACTCCCTGCCCCAGCCCTGATCCCATCCTGCCCTCCAAACCCCTCGGTCCCAGGCCGGAGCACCCTCCTGAACCCCTCACCCCTCATCTCCACCCCAGAGCCCTCCCGCACTCCAACCCCCAGTTTCGTGAGCATTCATAGTCTCCCCCCACCCCCCCATACAATTTCCATCCCAGATTTAACTGCAAATGTCACACAGGCAAAAGCATCCCCCTCTCAGCAAAAAAACTGTCCGGGTTTATCAGGGCACTTACCTTGCCAGCCTGAATTGCACAAGCATCCTTTGGTCCCATTCATGTTGCACTGACCTCTCGCAGGATATCCACAACCATCTGTGCAATAAGGAATATCGCACGCCTCTCCTTTCCAGTGTTCAGAACATTCACATTTAACAGTGTTACTGCTGTTATTGTGTTTGCACTCTCCTCGGCCAGAACAATTATTGGGACACATGTCGAAACTGCAAACACGGAGAAAATAATGTTTGTCAGCAGCTCAATTGACTACTAAGCCACACATCTTATTGCACAAAGAGGTGCTGAACAATGTTAATACAAAGGTATAAATGTCTATTCTACATATCTATGCTAAGATAGGATTTGAAGTTATGAGTCTATACTTGTTTTTGCTCTAGCTAATATTTTAAGTAGTAACATTAAGAGCGATTTCTATAACTGAGTCCTAAATTAGGTGAGCTGATGAGGAAACACTAGTGATTTGCCAAGTTCTTAGTGCTCAGCAGAAAAAGTGGTACTTTGCTTAGAGTCCCAAAATAACTGACTGACAAGTTATGCTTTTCAGATCTGAACCACCTTTGCAAAAAGTTTTGTTGATTTGGTCCACAATTTAAAGAGCTAGCTCGCTTAACAAGTAAATCTACAGCAATGCTTCTAAAACAATCCATATACATGCCAGTTATTTATAATGAAAATAAATCACCCCAACACCACTACAGTGAAGGATTTCATCAGCTCACATGAGGGCTTTGTGGTAACAGTGTGATCTATCCAACCAAACTAGTCCCAATTACACTTTATTCTGGGACTCACTTAACAAATGCACCACAGGGTGCATGTCAATAACCCAGCCACACACAACCCTTTGGATCATGGTGCACACAGTACTCAAGTGGAATCAACTATGACAAAACTAGTCCTCCAGTATTTTTAATCAATATCTGTTACAGATTCCACGATTTGATAAAGAATAAGGCCCCTGAATGTGAAAGCTGAAGTTTATTTAACCACTGACCTTGCATTCAACAACATGAATCAAAGATAGGGATCACTATCCAAAATCCAACTGCACCAAGACTAAATGAAATAAAAGGATTTCACTCTCCTTTGTAGTAAGGGTCAGAGTGAATTTCAAAGCTTGACTTTGAATTCAAACTCCAGCAACAATACTCTGAGCTGGTTAGAATACATCCAAATTTTAAAACAGAAAATCCTTGCATCCTCTCTGTTAAGGACACATTAGGAGGAAGTCTCTCACCCATAACACACAGAACAACCAAAAATTGAAACAAGATTTTTAAATTTTTTTAAAGAAAATTATCTGAAATGAGATCGAGCATGTAGAATTAGGAGAAATTTTAAAATACAGCTTAATATAGCAAGTTCATATCCACCTTCTTTTAAGGGAAGGTAGATTAGTTGTAAGCGAATTTATTCATTGCATGATGATGTTGGAGTTTCCCACCGTAGTTGATGTATGAGAGAGTTTGTTTCAGTGCATCTTGTACAAATGTAAACTCACGAGGGATCCACAGATGCGTCCACATCTCAAGCAGACATGGCCTCATGTTTTTGCCACAGCCTGCTTTCTTCACTCACACTTCTCTTCGGCTTTTTTCGGTTCTGCCAGTTATTGTCACTATGTAGTACTGGCAGCTGCCAGTAGATGGCATCATGGTTTTGGGCATCAGAGTGACCAAGATTTTCTAAATTAGATGTCTAAAATAAGGCTGCTAAATAAATTTTGGCCTGACTTTGGAAAGTGCTGAGTACCCTCACCTCCCACTGCCGTCAGCAAGAGCTGCTGGATGCGCAGCATCTTTTGGAAAAAAACAGACCACTTATTTAGGTGCTTAAATATGGATTAAGAGCCTAACTTTAGGCACCAAGTTTTGAAAATCTTGGCCAGCGGGTTTAAGCCAAGGGCTCTCTAGCAGACAAAAATGTATGAAGTCGAAGGCGAGCCTGGGAAGACACGGATAGCTTGGCCGTAGCTATAACATGTCCCCCTGAATAAGCAGCACGCCATCCACTCCCTTCTGACTTTTTTTCATATTTAAAACAGCCCAATATAGATAGTTGGTTCATATGACAAATGCATTTCACGGGTTGATCCACATTTAACATCCAGGGATGCTTAAACTATTCCTGTGGTAGACAGTCATTTGTAACTGAATTTCTTCAACCAATCAACATTAAATGTTACCAAGAGCTAAAATTTCCTGCACATGAACACCAGTTCACACCCACGGTAAAACAAATCCCACTCCATACAAAATCCTCATACACAACTATACTGAAATAAAATTCAGAGGCTGTCACACCCACAAAAGCAACAAATTCAATTAAATGTCCAATACCTACAA